CCCTCCCTCTCTCTCTCTCTCTCTCTCTCTCTCTCTCTCTCTCTCTCTCGTGAAATTATGTTATGTTTTCCACATTGGTTTATTACAGTGGTGGAAACCATCCCAAACACATTGTTGTATTTGTTATACCACAATCCTGATAGCTTCTTATGGCCAAAATTCAGTTGTTGCTACCTGTCTGTCTCTCCTAAAGAGGAAAAATTTAAGTACTACATTTCTTAGAACTCAGCAATTTGTATCTCCATTTGTAGATTAAAAACCAATTCATTCAATACACATATTATTATACACAATGTTATATACTGAATATACTTTCATAAAGCAATTGTTACACACAAAACATCTACAAGTTTCTAAGGTAAGTCTTTAAGATAAATCAACATTAATTATTGCATACAATTCCATTTTTACACATATTTCATTTTCCCTACCAAAGGGGAAAAGTGGGAGGGGGGGGGATATTCTCATATACAATGTTTCTGGAAATTCTACATCCATCTCCAGATATTTGCCAGAAAGTGATTTTATTATAAGCAGTGATTGGAGAAGCCTTTTTAATGCAGAGATAGGCAACTAGTATCTTCTAGCGCCTCCTGACTTAAAAATACAATATAAAATAAACGCTAATCTGTCCTTTTATTTTAAAATATTTCTAAGTCCAATCAACCCTCTCAGTTATTCTTTAAAAAAAAGAAGAAAATGCTGGATTACAACCTTATGTTGCTGGAGAGAATATGTTTTCCCTGTCCAGAAAAAAAAGAAAAAAAGAAATTGGGGTGGCAAAGAGATTCTCACTAAATTAGCAAAAAGAGGAGGAAGGAACAAGACTTCACAGTTGTAGTAATGGGTTTGGTAATTAGGCAGCCATTTTGTGAATAAAGGCATCATGGCAGCCAGTTTTTGAACATTCAACAATTCTCAAAATTCCAAACACGTCTGTTGTTCTAAAAGGACAATCTATATCCATCCTAATGACTATAACAGTAGCGAGCACTTATAGTTTGGGGTGGAAAGTTTTGTCTGTTACATTAACTAAAATTGAACTGGTGTTTAGAAAAAAAATTGAAGAATTACAACAAGGATGGAGAGTACATCTGAGCTGATTTCATACAAAGATGCTTGTTATCTTACACCATTTTTCTGGACATAACTAATGGCCAACATAGCTTAAAAAGGAGTTTTCCACTGTGAGGCTGAGTCTAAGACTACATGGCAAGTGCTCTACCTAAGGTGTCACAACTCCCTCACAAATACATTACAGTACTCATAAGTGGAAATAATTCCCTGTAGTTTATTGGAGAAACACAACTGTTTCATTTTTTCCAATGATGTGTGTGTGTGTGTGTGATAAATTCTGGAGGACTTTTAAACTGGGACAAATAATTTTCTTATAGAAAAAGATGAAACATTTTTAAAATGATCTATTTCTCAATCCTTCAAAAATCTGATATTTACACAAAGTTTATTAATCAACCAAGGAGTGTCGTCTCCCTTCTCCCAAAGCAAAAAGCCACTCTAAGAAAACATAAGCCTTTTCAAAATTTCCTACTATGTAAATCCATAAAAATGATATCCTATTTGTATGTTCTGATATAAACCCGCAGAATTTTTGTGAACACCACTTTAAATAATATCATATCAACTGGATTCTATATAATTTGTGATTTATTTCAATATACTAATAACCAAATAACAAAAACCAATAATGGGTAATGGAAGAAGCAAGTGATGACCTCATACTTAATTAAAATAACAAAGACTAGCAAAGGGCAAAAGAAAGTATGAAAATGCCAGAATTCAGATCTTTCACATTTTTTTTCTTTATTTTATACATGGTTCAAAATATATCTTCTAGAAGTAAAAATGTATCCTTGTGGACAGAATTTTTTTAAAAAATCCCACTTTCACCAAATATAATCTTTACCGATAGGAACTTTGTCAGCAACCAAAGAAATGAGTTGGCAGGCAGGCACTTTGCTGTTCACCAGGTATCATGTTGAAGTTGTGGACTTAATTCATTTATTTTGAAAATGGAACATTAAATGTGAAAGTATGGAATGGATTGATCCTTTATTGGCAATTGCCATTAAGTGCAAGTAAGTGAAATGGAAATTTGAAGCTTGACAGAATCTGAACTGGTATAGCACTAGTTTAAAAAAGCAGGTTATATTGCTTATATTGCAGAAGCAGGAAAAAACACGCAGAGAACTATAAATCATGTTTACGAAAGTGATCTGTTCAATTAAGTATTATGATAAGTCCATGATGGGGAACCTATGGCACACATGCCACAGGTGGCACGCCAAGCCATTTCGTGGAGCCATGTGCGCACTGGCAAGCTGATTTTCGGCCTTGATTTTCGGATGTTTTCGGGAACGGACTTCCGGTTTGTGCGTTGGGCTGTTTTTTGCCCTCCCCAGGCTCCTAGAAAGCCTCTGGAGCCTGGGAAGGGCAAAAAACAGACCTACCGGGCCCATCGGAAGTCAGAAAATGGTCCGTTTCCAGCCTCCAAAGGGCATCCGGGGGGGCAGGGGACGCAGTTTTCATCCTTCCCAGGCTCCAAGAAAGCCATGCGACATGCGGGGGGCAGCAGGGGGTGTCATGCGCACATGCACAAGGGGCACAGTGTGGGGGAGGCATAAAATTATGGGGGTGGGCATGCGAGCGAGCGTGATAGCGCATGTGCACATGCTTTTGGCACCCGAGGCGAAAAAGGTTTGCCATCATTGTGATAATTACATTTGATAAACAAACACAGATTTGTAATATATTCTGCTATTTTTTACTTTTGTAATTTGTAAAAATAAAAGAGCGAATGTGTCAGGAACTTTGTGAATTTTGACAATGACTAGCAGCAAAGCTCAGCTACAAATTTTGGATAATCAGACTCAATATCTGCTAGGAAAAAAATGTCCTAGAGCTATGTAAGACTTAGGAGGACATTTGTTTGCAATTAACTTAAACAAAATCTATCCTATCTTGAGATTATGACGCTGCTGTTTCTCCAAGGAACAAGTACATATTTTCCAAAAATACACAACTGCTTTAAGAAATAGCAGACATTCCTGAAGCACTTTTTGATCTTTGAAGCCAATGTGCTTGCATAGCCCTAAAATGTTCCATTGTAGAAAATCAAAGAAATGAACATATAATAGACTGCTGTCCTTAATAAACTTACTCTAAGTCCCCCACTCTCTCTCCCCCAAAAAATAACTTCTTTACAAAAGCATGCATAGGATTACACAGTACATGAAGATGCTGGAGTTACTGACAATTTTAATAGTGGCTTGACATGTTTCCTCTTAGAATGTTAAAGATTCATCAGAAAATGTCATCTAAATTCTGAACAATATCATTTTGCACATGTATACACACATCGCTGACTCTTAAATGACTATTTTAGGAGAGAAACCCATTACCATTTCCAAAGACACAATTTTGGACCATGTGTATAAATACTAGGTATCTTGTGTTACAGATACAGAATTAGCTGCTTCTTCCACCTGTGCTGACATGAACTTATTCTGCATTCTGTGCAACTGTTTTTAACAAGGCTGTCACAACAATAGCATTTTTCAAGCCACAGAGGAATCCCAGTTTTGAATGATGCCCTACTCTTTTGAAGCACTCAGAAATTCAAGAAGAAAATTGCACGGTGGAGATAGAAGACAACACACACCACAGTCT